CTCCCATCCCTCCCCTCCTTCCCTCAATCCCTTCCCTCCATCCAGCCTTCCCCTCTCCTCCCTCCCCTCCCCCTCCCTCCCTCCTCTCCCTCTCTCCCCTCCCCCTCCCTCCATCCTTTTCCTCCCCTCCCCTCCCTCTCCTCCCTCCTCTCCCTCCCTTCCTCCTCTTGCTTTCTTTTCTTTCTTCCTTTCTCTCTTTCTCTTTTTTAAAATTCATCTCACCATTTTTCTTTTGCTGGATGCATTTTCCGTGTCCAGAAAAGACTAAGCCGTAGCAGAGCCCAGCTGTCGTTTCTCTCTGTGAAACTTTGTTTCTCCTGAGTGTCCTGGGTCAGCTTTGTTCCCCTGCCTGGACTGCAGCTTCTCCTGGAGCTGTGGAAGTCCCTCTCCCTGTGGACGTGGACCTTTCATGAGGATACATGAGGCTTCCTCCCCGAGCCCCCGGCTTCCATCACTGTGTTGTAGAATTCCCTGCATGCCCATGGCCCTAATTCCAGATCAGATACAGCCCCGGCACAGCCCTACTGCTCATGTTGTCTTTGGGCCTTACCGTGTGTCAGCCCATGTCTCCTCTCTGGGTCTGCAAGTTACGCATGGCATGGCGTGTGGATGGACTTCAGAAGAGTTTACAGGAATCAGTTGTCTCCTGCCAGCTGAAGCTAGAGACTGGGCTCAGGTCATCAGGCAAGTAGCTTAACCCACTGGGTCATCTCGGCAATCCCAAATCCCCTTTTTCTTAGACCGAAATGTCTGTGGTGCTCAAGAGCAGCCTTTGTGAGAGGGCTGATATTCGCTCTTCTCTGCTAGACTGGCAGGGTGGGGGGGGGTCTAATGTGGCAGTTCCACCTTCGACCCTGCATTCAGGGTGCTCAGCTCAATCTTCCAGGGAACGTCTGTCCCCATCACACTGAAGAGAGCCTCCTTCCCTTGCTTCTCATGACTTTGTACTGATCAGTCAAGCCGGGGCAGGTCTGAGGTTTAGCACCATTGCTATTAACAGTCAAATGCCCAGCAGGATTTTACGGAGGGTCCCAACCTGCAACAAATGACCATATATTTATCCATGCTGCGACACAGATTCTGGTCTGTTTCTCTGCACAACCCCTGTAAACTCCAGAAAAATGACCTGTTGTGAGGTGACAGATATATTCCTGCAATTACCACATTAACCGAATGTGGGGTGCCGTGGACCAAGTTTCTGAAGGATGAAACGGATCCTACAAATGGATCCTTATGCTGATGGGTTGTACAGATTCATCTTTTGCTTCATGAGTTGTTTTTCAGAGAGGGAGGCTGCTGAGGGCTGCTATAGGGCAATGCATACCAACACCCAGTTTTCTATAGCTCCCACTTTTTCCTTTTTTAGTCTTGCATTTGCCTCTGCCTCTCGCCCTCATTCCTGCCTCGCTTCCTGGGAATCTCAAGGTTTTACATTCTCCCAGAACACACAAGAATCAGGCCCCTGTTGAGTTTAAGAATACTAGTTGTAGAAACCAAGGCATAGTGGACAACTGTCTAACACCCACTGTCTAAACCTCTTCTATTCAAACTGTGCTCTCTGGGAAGCAGGGAGGGTTATAGACCCAAACCCTCTGGGTTCACCCCATACTGCGCGGCAAAGGAGCTGCATTTGTGACAAGGTCCCTTGTTTTTGACCAGCTGGTGTTTTCTGTCCAGCTTCCATGGCAGGCGAACACTTTTTTCCTGGACAAATGCAGGTCAAGAGCATGGACCTGGAGGTATCTGTGTGCTGGGGACACTGGCTGTTTCTCATGTCCAGTGACGCTCTCTTCCCAGAAGGGAGGTGACCTGATGTTTGCAATCAGGCCTGTGGCAGTGCTAGCGGCCTTTGGAAGAGTTGTTGGGCTTCGCTGTGTGCTTGTGCTGAGTTCAAATCTTATTAGGCCAGGGAGCACTGCCTGGCAAGAGGGGGTTACCCCGCCTTGGCGGCCCATGCTTCCCAATTCATTTTTATTGCGCTAATTACGCCTCAAGTGATATTTCAAGTACAGATTGTTTTTCCCATTATTGGGTCTTGGCCAGCCCACCAGTGCTGGAGACAGGTGCTCTCCTGTTTGCAGGAGACTGTACAGTCAAAAGATCTAAGCGTGGCCAATGCTGCGCAGATTCCTTTGGGAACTCCTGTGGCAGGGCAAGACGATCAGTTTATAGTAAGGAGACTCATCCTTCCTTCACAAAATGTCACAGAACTCTTCTCAAATGAACCAAATTCTCAGATCACGGATGTGGTATGGTATGTGTGGTTTGCACCACGGTGAATGTGAGCAACTCTGGAGGCCCTTTTATTATGGGGCAAAATCTCAGTCTACATTGACTTGGGCAGCTTTGAAAGATGTGCTTGATTCTTATAACACTCACAGACATCATTACTCAAACAAATGGGAAGTATTTGTCATCAGAGTTAGGTATAAGGATTTGATAAGGTAACACACTGGATGAGAGCAAGGTTTTAAACGCGCCTAGAAAATGTTACCATTGCTACTACTCAAAATTAGCATCCTTAGTCTTCTAAACTGCGGTCGGAAAAGAAGACTAAGCCATATTTTATGGGAAACTAAGCCTTTTTATGGCAATTTTATGGGAATAGTTAAGGTTATGACGTATCTTATCTTATGGAAGCCCATTTTAACATTTCTCTACTGAGAACATTTAAAATAACAGATACATCTACACAAGATTGATCCAGTCCTAAAGAGCATCAGCTCACATAAAGAAGACCTCAGCACCTGGGATCACACGCCTTTAATCCTGGCATTAGGGAGGCACATAATGCAGGAGCAAGGTCTCAGTATCAGGCATTCATTCATTCTCCATCCACAGTGAGGATAGGAAGACATTGAAGTCTCAGGATTCTCCAGCACTCTGAAGAGATGTTACAGGCTGAAGTTTGGTGGAGCCAGGATAACCTTTCAGTCTGAGGTAGAGTGAGAGCTAGTGGCCGGCTGCTTTGCTCTTCTGATCTTCCGCTTGAAGCTTGAACTCCAGTGTCAGTCTCTGGGTCTTTCATTTTTCACAAGTGCAACACGTGGGCGGCACCATGACAGACAGTGGCTGAAAGCCGGCTGCATATTCATAGTCAACATGCTTTCTGCTCTCCAAGGTCCAGGTGATGTGAGCCTCCTCCCTCAGGGGGAAATGGGAGATGCATTCTGTAAAGAGAATAGAACAAAGGTTCTGAGAGGCTCCAGGTAGATTTGAGGCTACGGCATTCATAGACAGCACGATGGGTTTACATATTGATTTTCTTTTTAATATTTATAGACTTTTGTATCATTGAAGCAGGGTGTTGGGACAATGTCCAATAATTCTTCCATCGGACTGAGTAATTGGAACGGTCTCTTCCACAAAACTGGATAGGTTCTATGGGTTTTAGACAGTCCAGCTGTCAGTACGGTTGACACATCACGACAGAATTTACGTCCCCAGTAGATAAGGTGACTGCTCAGCATGTGGAACCATGCAAAGATGTAGCTGTGCCGAGTCTGGAGTGGACAGGTGGGAAAGAAAGGCTGGTGCGCAGATGGGCATAGACTCTAGCTCTCTCCTGGCAGGAGGTCGCTAGGTAATTCTGCAACCGAAAAGCCAACAAATAGGAGTGCGAGCATACTATTTGTCAGGGAGATCAGTAGTAAAGAGGACACGCAAATAGATGAAATGGTGTCCTTGGACAGGAAGCCACGGTGTGCAGGTGACGCCCGACTTCTCCTCGCCCAGTAGCTTCGGTATCTGCGACAACAAGTGTCACACGATTACAGACTCTTTAAATGACAAGACTACATGCTAGGCTAAAAATAAAGAAAACATGTGCTTTTAAGAAGTCACCCAGACCACACCACTTACTTTAATGGTGGTCTGTCTGTCTTTTTGTCTGTCTGTCTGTCTTGACCTGCTTCCCAATTCACATAGTTTCTGTGAATGGAGTTCACTATCTGAGGCCTGGTTTTGTTGTCTGTGCTGCCTTTCTCTTAACCGTTGTTGTGTGCTTCTTTGCCTTGTGAAACTCGGGATAGCCTGGGCTCTTTGAAACCACCAAGGGATGTAACGTTCCTCTCTTGGGGAAGATACACTGCAAGGAGGTTCCAAGAGTCCCCGAGAGCCAGATTTTATTAGGGTGTCCTCTCCCAGAGGTCAAAACACCATGAGATACGCCATGCACAAATATTGTGTGGTGTGATGTCAATCCTAAAGTGGCTTAGCCAGTGAGGGTTGGTTAGTAATGAAGAGTTTGTGTATGAAACATGGCGGTCCAGTTGCCAGCAAATAGATGGGTTAATTATAATTTAGGAATGATTGCAGATGAGCTGCCTTTTCTGATCTCTGAGTTGCTTCTTAGACAATGATTCGTCAGTGTCAGACTTGGCTGTTGGGGTGAACATAGTTCCTCTAAATTGTCCTCATATCAAGTGGGGCGCTGCTTTGATTGGCAGAACCAGTGCACTGTTAGCCCTCCAAGCCCTGCTCTAGGAAGAGTGTACTGTGATTTTTGGCTGTGGGAGGCACTGTGCACACCTGGGAGGAGAGACTGCCTGAAGAAATGGAAACGGCAGGGATTAAAATAAAAACCGTCTCGCTCTTGGAATATAAAGTAAAAAATACATCACTGAAAAGATAAAAAAAAAAAATGTGTAATGTTCACAATTTCCCCTGACAACAAATACATTTTTAAGGTTTTTAAATTTTAAAACAAAGAATTTTTCATTGTGATAAGGATTCCTATAACTTCTCATTATTATTATGAACAAGATGCTCAATTTAATTCTAACTAGGCTTAGAGGATTCTAACATGGTCATCCTTGAGAATGACCATGTTTTCCTTCACAGTCTGATTCTCCTGAACTCTAGGTCTGATGGTATGTTTCTAGACTGAAATGAGTCACCGGGAAAAAAAAAAGGGGGGGGTCTCTGTGAACACATAGGTGTGTCCTCCCATGTGATTCTGGCTGTAACCGTGTGTTTCTGTGTGTGTTCCTCTTTTGTAGGTCTGCCGTCTGCACGCCTGGCTGCCCCTAACCTTACCGTGGAAGAAGGAAGCTCTGTCACACTTTCCTGCAGTGTAGGGGGTGACCCACTCCCGACGCTGTCCTGGGATGTTGGGAATTTGGTTTCCAAACACATGGTAAGGCATGCATTTAGTTCTGTCTTGTGTGACAATGGGGAGATCATGTTAGGCATGCTGATGGCCACTCTCTTGGATTCCTTTTTGTCGCTGTGATGAAAAGGCCCAGACCAGATTGACATAAAGGAAAAGGGTTCACAGCTGGGAAGTCTCAGCCTCAGGAGCTTGAAGGAGCCGGTCATGTTAAGTTCACAATCAAGAGCAGGGGACAGGGAATTAATGCATGCATGTATCAACTCGTTTTTTTCATCAGTTCAAAATCAAAATAGTTTGACCTGCATCGCTCACATTTAGGGCGGAAAATCCCACTGTAGTTAATGTGGTTAAGAAGCCTCACCTAACCCCAACAGCTGTTCTTTGAGGTTCCATCCCAGGTGACCCTGAATCGCCAAGTTGATCATCTTTACCAACCATCAAAACTACCCAGTATTTTATGGGTCCATATGTAGGCATTTAAAATGTTTTTTTTTTTGTTTGTTTGTTTGTTTTGGTTTTTTGAGACAGGGTTTCTCTATGTAGCCTTGGAGCCTGTTCTGGAACTAGCTATGTAGGTGAGGCTGGTCTCAAACTCACAGAGATCTACCTTCCTCTGCCTCCCAATACAATGAATTTTTAATGTAATTTATTACTATTTATTCTTAATTAGGTAAGGCTAATTCAAGATTACATTTTAGTTATCTGCCTACATCAGATTGGAGGAGACTCTTTAGGTAATAATGCATTCTGTGCCATTCTGAGCAAGGAAGTGACAGACAGTGCTGTAGTCTTTGCCCTTGGAGGAAGGTAGGTAAGAATCCAGGAATTTAGTCAAACACACATGGAGCAATTGGAACCCAGAGCGAGAAAATAACTTATGCTTATTTGACTCTGGAACCTGTAAGAAAGTGTGTCTGTGTATGTATGTATGTGTGTGTAAGAGTGTATATAATGTGTATATATGTGTGTATGTTTGGTACAAGTGTGTATATATGTGTAAGCTTGTGTGTACAAGTGTGTGTTAGAGAGTGTGTAAGTATATTTACATGAGTGTTTATGTGTGTGTAAGAGAATGCGTGTGCGCGTGTGTGTGTGTAAGTGTGTGTGCATGTGTGTGTATACTCTACTTAAGGAAGAAATGTGGATACTTTGGGATCGATTCTAATCAAGGTATTTTTTTTTGTCTGTTAATTTATTTGTAGAATGAAACGGGCCACACACAGGGCTCCCTAAGGATAACGAACATTTCATCTGATGACAGCGGGAAGCAAATCTCTTGTGTGGCAGAAAACCTCGTAGGAGAAGATCAAGATTCCGTGAACCTCACTGTGCATTGTACGTAGTGAGAGCAGTGTGTTCCCATAGGGAGTGGCAGGTGTCCCACCTTCGTCTCCGGGGAAGTTGGTGACCTCAGAGTATAGCTCAGGCTTTTGTGTCAGCCCCTGGTTCCCGTCCCGAGGAGTCTGTGTAAAGGTGCTTCCTACATTTAAAGTTGGATAATTGCCAGGCTGTTTGTCAAGCTCAAATTAGACCTCAGACATTTCAGGGATTAAAACATGGGCATTCAGAATCTAGTAAAACGGGACCACACTCTGGTTCAGCACATCTAAAAGCATATTTGCAACAGAAGTTTTAAGCTTCTCATTCTTCATGCTGACCAATTAGTGACAGCAGCAACATTCACTGTGGATGAATGAGTCGGATCCATTTTACTGTGTCCTATTGGATCAGAGACTCAGGAGACATTTCCAAAGTTAGGGATTCTTATAGAAATTTTAATTATTTAAGGAAGAATTACTAATGAAAAATTGTCTCATTATTTATGATGAATCCATATGATATTAAGGTGTGTGTGCATGTGTGTGTGCATGAACAAAGCCAACGTAGACATCAAATGAACACTTCCTACCGTAGAGTCTTGCCTGTTGTGTGAATCGTGAGCAGAGAGGGCTAAGTTGCTCCCTGAAGCTCCTGGAAGGGAGTTCAAACAGTCAGATGATACAAAATGATTGACCTAGGTCTCAGATTGTGGGTTTTCTTAAATTAAATGATGGTCAAATAAGAGCCCTTCTTAATAACACAGAGCTCAAGGGGAAGATTCCAAGCTTTCTGGTGCTATTAACTCTTTCTCTTTTCATTTAGTCGCACCGACTATCACCTTTCTCGAATCTCCAACCTCAGACCACCACTGGTGCATTCCATTCACTGTGAGAGGCAACCCCAAGCCAGCGCTTCAGTGGTTTTATAACGGGGCAATATTGAACGAATCCAAATACATCTGTACTAAAATTCATGTTACCAACCACACGGAGTACCATGGCTGCCTCCAGCTGGATAATCCCACTCATATGAATAATGGAGACTACACTCTGATGGCCAAGAACGAGTATGGAAAAGACGAGAGACAGATTTCTGCTCACTTCATGGGCCGGCCTGGGATTGATTATGGTGAGCACCTGGAGGTTTTGCACCTGGGGAAAGGGTAGAGTGGCACAATAAGGTCCTGGGTCTGAAGCCACCTGGCATTAGTGGCACAGCAGATGTGTGCCTCATGGCGAGTGTGGAGTGTAGACGGCTAGGAACTTGAAGACTTTGTTGAGATGGTTCCTCTTAACGGTGAAGGCCATGAGTCTAAAGTGAAGCTGTGTCAAGGAAGGGGGCTGCGCAGTGACCAGTTTTACACAGCAGTACTGATGGAGGGTGTCGATAGGTCACGAGAGGGTTCCACGGCAGTACTGATGGAGGGTGTCCATAGGTCACGAGAGGGTTCCACGGCAGTACTGATGGAGAGTGTCCATAGGTCACGAGAGGGTTCCACGACAGTACTGATGGAGGGTGTCCATAGGTCATGAGAAGATTTTTCGCATCATTGCTTCCATGCTTGATGAGATCTCAGGTCAAGTGCTAAATCCCATGAAAAACCAAGAGTAGAGTAACTGGTTGGCTCGTAAAATATTCAAGATGTATTTTTGACCCTGGTATCCATTTGGGGTCAGAATCCCACCTTCATATTTATGATGAGAAACCAATACTATGGATTTTGTTTACCCGGCTATGGTGAGCAATCCTTTTATCTGGGAGGAGATGGCCCTGACTAACCATCAGGAAAGCTTCTGTCAGTCAGGGTTCCGGTGATGGAGTGACAATTGCCACAGCTCCGCCACTTCAGAAGAGTGCCTTGTCCTCTCCTTCTTGCTGCTGGGGTGATTGCTCTGTTGTAGGGGCCTGCTTTGTGATGTTGAGACCTGCATGTGAGTTAGTCTAAGTCCTGTAAGTCATGTGGCTGAGCAAAAGGGGAGGAGAGCTGTGGGAATCTGAGGCAATGGGCTGTTTGCACAGGTTCTCCCGGGCGGACTCCCAAGGCATTGTTGTGGGCAAAGGTGATCCGTGCAAAACTACCTTCATTCCTGCAAAGAGTATTTGTTTAGCAATAAATAAGAGTGCAGTCATGCATCTATGTGAGAGCCTCCCCTTTGCTGGGTGTTTTCCCAATGTCTCCTAAACATACAGGCATCCTGAGCATGCTCAAAATGTAATTTAAATTATGTCAGTTTGATTTACCAAAAGCCCTGCAGGGGTACATAAAACAAATGGTACTAGGAAACACTGCCTATACACCCCTGGCTGTTGGTAGTCATCCCCATTAAATTTTCCTCTTAATTGAGAGTTCAGCTGCTTGCCTATGTTGGCTGTGGTAAACCTCTAGATGGGCAAGCTGCTGCTTTCTGTGTCTTTGTGGGAATGGCACTCCAACTTGGGACCACAGCTTTATGTTTGCTCTTCAGTAAAATTTTTATTTGTGAGTAATTTTAGGTTTATAGAAAAGCTGCAGACAGAAAGTTTCTGGAAAATTCTGCCCAGACTTGCCAATGATGACATCTTCTGTTACTGGGGTCTATCTGTCACGTGAAAAATGAACAGGGTACTGCTGTCTTAGAATTCACCCAACTTTAAGCTGTATTTGGATTTTGCCACCAACAGCTTTTTGAAGTTCTTTGGGCTGGAACTTGATTCATGTAAAGGCCCAGAATTTGAAAGTTCTGCAAAACAGGTCTGTGTCCTTTGAAATTCATACACTGAAGGGCCAATTTTAGCTGTGATTTCCTTTGAGCATTCCCCCATGTTGCTAATATTTGGCTGGACTAAACTTCTCTTACCTATGTGGCCTCTTTTTTAATGTATCAGTTGTTAGTTTTGTTTCCTGGCTTGGTCATAACTTGGTGGGGGGGGGGTCTCTCAATTATTTATTTATAAAAAGTAAAATCCAACTAAATTTTTATTATACTTTGTGTATATGTGTGTGAGAGAGAGTGTATGTCTGTGTGAGTGTCTGTGTGTGTGTATGTGAGTGTGTGTGTCAGTGTGTGTGTGTGTGTGTGGTGTGTCTGTGCCTGGTGTGTGTGTGTGTGAGTGTGTGTGTGTGTGTGTGTGGTGTGTCTGTGCCTGGTGTGAGTGTGTGTGTGTGTGGTGTGTCTGTGCCTGGTGTGTGTGGTGTGTCTGTGTGTGTGTGGTATGTGTGTATGTGTGAGTGTGTGTGTGTGTAAGGATTACTCATAGGAGTCATTTCTCTTTTTCCACCAATTGGACCCTGGGGATGGAACTTAGGTAATCAGACTAAGCAGGTGCCTGGGCCCTAAATTAAGCTGAATTTTGCAAAGTTGTTCCCCCTCCTCCTCGTCCCTGGTCCTCACTTACCCGTTTTTTATTATGTCTTTAAAATAAACTTATGGGGTGGAGAAGATGGTTCAGGAAGGTAAGTGTGCTTTCTGTGAGAGCAGACGTACCGGGTTTAAATGCCCAGCATCCGTGGAAGAGCTAGTCATGGCCTCACGTGCTTTCCACCCCAGAGCTGGGGACAGAGACAGGTGGACCCTAACAGTTAGGGCCACGCCACCTAACTAAAAAGGGGAGTTTCAGACTCGATAAAGGATCCTGTTTCAAGACGTAAGATGGAGAGCGATCGAGGGAGACTCCTGGGATCCTCTGGCCCTTTGTGCATTCATACAGAGAGCACAGATCTACAACACCGAGCATGTGCATGGGTTGGCACGCACACACGATAGAAAAGGAAACGCAAGCAAACTGTTAATATGTGCTTTCAGGAAGAGACTCATTTATTTCTGTCTTTAACTGTTTACTCAAAGTCCAGCAATCAAGGAATAATAAATGAAAGATAAAATTATGGGGACTTGGTCTTGGGTGACAGTAGATATAGATGACCCTAGTGAGCCATAAACCAACGTGACTAATTGGAGATTGGCCTCAGTCAACTGTGGGATGGAGTCTTGCTGGGTATTTATGAGGTTCAGAGTCATATCATTCAGATAACAACCTCCCTTAGAATCGATTCCATTCCTTCCTAACCCCCTTAAAATTAAAGAAACAACAGAGAAAAGAGAATACAGCCATCATATCCCTGGTGTTGCATTCCACATCAAGGACAACAGAAGGTCAAGCCAGACTTCTTATTCCTTCCACATTTCTGCTGCCATCGGGTAGTGATCTGTGGCCATTAGCTCTCACAAATCTGTGCGGTGAGAATTAATCTAATTCCACTGGTGGTAGTTTTGATGATTATAAAGGAATGGAGGGAAGAAAGTCCAAGTATGGACAGCCCTAGTTCATTGTGATGTAGTTAGAGGAGCAACTGGTCTTCTCAGGCCCAGGGTGCCATGTGTGAGGCCCGAGGGTGTGAGGTTGGCACCAGAGAAACCCAACAAGGCAAGGTCTCCATAAAGTGTCTTTGGACCATAGTACCTGACTACAGGGATACCCGCCCCCACCCCAGGGTGATGTACCCAGTGACATCTGTCTGGTTTATAGGTGTCCACAAGACCCAGGTCCTGTCCCAGATGTTAGCTACTGAAAACCTGGACCAGTTCATGAAAGAGAGAAGGAAGTTTTGCTAGGTCCCAGGCATTGCAGTTGGCCATTTTGGGTCCTGCCTTTAAGAACTGAACCTGGCTCTGGCTGGCTTGGGCAGTGTTCAGAGTGGAGGATGCAGCTTCCAGCTGCTGAATAAAACCGTGTTGTCTGCCTGGTGCGCTGTGGAGCACAGCTTTCGGAAATCATGCTAGTTTTATTTTATCTTTGGTTTTCACGCTCCTGTAAAATCGGTTCCCAGGAGCAGTTTGTCCTTGACGCCCAGCATCAGCGTCTGCTGGAGACTTTCAGGCGGGACTTTTGTCTTACTGCAGTTTAGAGTGCTTCCGGAGGCTTGACCTCAGCTGTTCTGACTCAGTGGTTCTCAGGTGAGCCTTTGGCACCTCCCTTTTAAAGATATCCAGGCAGCACCCACGGGTGAGCGCCTGCTCCTTAGTGAGTGGCAGATAGTTTTCCAGGTGTTCTGGGCCACAGAAGGAATCCCTGTTGAAAAAGTTTGTCCTGGTCTGGAGAAATGGCTCAGCAGTTAAGAGCACTGGCTGCTACACCAGAGGACATGGGTTCAATTCCCAGCACCCACATGGCGGCTCACACCTGTCAGTAACTCCAGTTCCAGGGGATGCTACATCCTCTTCTGGCCTCTGTGAGCACCAAACATACACATGGCAGACATACCTGTGGGAAAAATACCAATACACACAAAATAAACATAAATTTAAAAACAGTTTATCATATTGGAGCTAGAAACTAAGACTGGGTTTGATATCTTGCTCAGATTCCCCTACTTCTTGCCAAGTTCAGCTGGGGGTTAGACCTGGAATATACTGAGGCTTTAGCCCTTCTGTTCCCTAGGATGATGTGGAGGAGGACAGTCGCTTGGAGCCCTTCAGACTTGGTATTAGCGGACTTTCTTCCCTGGACGCCTTCCTGTGTTCTTGCAAATCCTGTTTTTCTATAGTTGTAGTGACAGGAGCAAGCTCATCTCTCCTTTAGCTAGCAAGACGGACTCCCTTTCCATGAGGAGCTTCATGTCTTCCGGATCCTTCTGTATCCCCAGGGGACCTAGGACACGAGAGTGCTGCAGACACTCACTCCCTTGTTGGTATCACATGGTCCCACGGGAATACCCAAGATCCCTTGACCTGACTCCTTGGCTGTCATCAGGCCTGGTCGTCTGAGCCTGCCACTTCCAGGGAGCACGATAGATGGATGCCCTCAGAGTGGTCCTGTCGGGGACTGCCGGGTGAGAGCAGCTCACAGAACTTCCTGAAGATCACTTAGTAGGGCCTTGTTCTCCCCTCTGGGGGAACTAGATGACATGGGAACAGATTTTAGCCAGTTTCTTTGTGAATTCTGCCTCTGAATGACTCCCATTCACTTTCATGCTGGTTACTTTAAAACCAGAAGATGCCCGTTCGAATATGTCAGCTCTTTCTGGAGGTCTGAGAAACAATGCAGATACAATGATTTCTTGGGACTGTGGGGGTAGGGGGTAGTGTGTAGGGTTCGGCCACTCTTCTCAATACAAGAAAGTGCTTGCTCAAACCACCGGTCAGCAGTAAGCC